CAATCAATTACAAGATTGTTATTGGAACTATATTACACACCTAAACGTTCCAACTCGCCGTCTGCATATTTCACTTGCAATGGACTAGATGCCTGAAATGGACAGAAAGAAGAGGAGGATTGAGACTAAAAAGGAAATAACTCTTTTTGTATACTGAACCAAACATGTTTAGCAAAAGTCTCTACTCATATCATGGACCTATATGCAAAGTCACAATTTCCAAAAACTTCTTCCCCAGAAAGGTACTACTTTAGAGTGGACCTTTTGGGGCTTACATTATGACAAGACGTACTGGGGATAAACAAAGAAAAAATATAAACGTAGATCCATAGAGTCCCTCCAGAATCTCCATTATTTCAAGTCCAAATATCACAAGGATCATCCCTATTGGCTGTGATTCGCTTACTAACTATATAGCAAGCTAAGACTTTTGCAAGCTCATCGCAGCAGTCACCCCACTGTGCCTTCTACTACACATAAGTAATGGATCATGGTACTGCAAACAGATGAGAAGAACATTGACTAGGCCCCATCAAGTCTCAAACATTGATCCAGAAACTCTCAAATTAAGTAGCCAATATGATCCCAATACAGAACCTGAGAACTGTTCCATAAAACTACCAAGTTGGCCATCTCTGCCCATTGTAAAACAACCAAGATTTGACAATGTCGAACTAATTTCATCCGCCTAAAGAAGTTGTTCCTTAATCGCAGTGAAGCACCGAATTACCATACTCATGAAGTGGAACCAAGCTGGCTAGATCAGAAATCTGGAAAAGAGAGGCCCTCTCCCAGATTGGGATGCAAGGGAGATCAAATTTGAACTCACCCCGGGCAATGTTTTCTTATTATGACACGCACTGACCGCCTTATCTGCTTCGTGCCTGGATGGGCAAAGTACGAAACAACACCCTGCAGTTGAGGCCAGGCAGAGAGAGAAGAAGAAGAACACATAAAAATTAGGGCAAATCTCGAATCGAAGCCCTCGAAAGGAAATCACCCATGGCGGAAGAGAATGCGAGATTTGGGTGGGGAAATGTGGGAGAAGAGGAAGAAGAAGAAGAAGAACCTCTGGAAGCGCGTGTAGTCTTGTCTTTGATGATGTTGACCTCGTCCACCAGGGCGAACTCTTGGAACATTGCGAGAAGCTGAGCTTCCGTCATGTGCTTGGGGACTTGACCCACAAACAGCTTGACGCTCTCGTCGCCGCTGGGCGTCGCCTCCTTGTTATCCTCCGCCATTAATGCCTAGAAAAAGCACAGACCCAGAGCAGACCCAGTCTCTCTCTTCCTCCTCCTCCTCTTTTTTCTCTATTACGACTTCGCAATCTCGTCTTGACGCCTTGCCTCGCTCCCTCGGTCTCCAGAATTCCACTGAGCTTTATCTCTCTAGATTCCTGTTTGATTTGGGTTTTCTTTTCTCTGGCTTTTCTTCTTCGTTCGAGTCGTCGCTGCGCTGGTGGAGAGAGAGAGAGATTTCTGGATGGCAAAGTTGGATCTCCGGTAAAAATATTTAATTGTTATTATAATTAAATGATTCAAAAAGTCAGGACCCCATCTCCTTGCGAATTTTACGATACTGTCCTTGGTTGGTTTCCACTCGCGCGTGGGAGACGGTTGTACTTTGACAATGGCGACTGGCGAGGCGGAGAGGTTTTTGTCATACGCGCTGCGAGAATTTTTTTTGGGAAGTTAAGTGACGGAAATGCCCTTCCGGTTTCGTCGCTGCTGTCAGGTTTCTTCTCTCCCGTCGTCTTCTTTATTTTTGCATGGCAGCAAGCAAGTAGTCTCTTCTCTCTCTCCAATTACATCGGTAGGCTGGCTGGCGGTCCCCACAAATGGCGCTGTCTCTGAGAAACGGATAAAACTAAAAGATAGAGAGAAGAGAGAAAAAGAAAAACAGCTATGTGAAAAGACTTTCTTCAACTTAAGAAGAAAAGATTTGACCCATCCAATTTGGTAGCCGGAATTTGTCTTCCCGTTGAATTATTAGCCGGAGTTTTTTCCAATATTATTCACCAAGATTAGGAATTTAGTGGAACTCGAATGTGCGAACCTATCAGATTTAACCCGGTCAATGTGGGTAAAATCCGTTTTGATAGATTGCGGGTCGGGTTCGGGTTTGAACTCGATATACTTTTTACAGGTTGGATTAGGTTTGGGTTTAGTCATACTTATATCCAACTCGCGGATACTGGCACCCAAGTCCATACTCCCCACGACCCACAAAACCCTTAACAAATTAACAATAATTTCTAAACTAATTCATCACGTTTTCAATTAATCATATTGTTTGTGGATGTTTATCTTTAATATTGAACAATTTGTATGAATAATTTGTGAGTTAATGTGATGTAGTAGACAATAGTAGTGAAAACTAGTGTAATTGCATCTTTGTAAATGAACCCATGGGTACCCATAAATCCGCGGATACCCGGCGGGTAGGGTTAGGTTTGAGTTTTTCAAATAAGTGGGTTTTACCCCCGATTATTTTGTTGGATAAACCCATGAGTTTGGGTTTGGCATAATCCGGCCCAACCCGACCCAATGCCATCCCTAACCAAGATAAAAATAAGGTATGGATTGCGATACAAAATATAAGGGTTACGAAACCTACAAAATTTGTCTCTTATCATTCTTATATGATAGTATCAAGACCGGTAGACACAAAATTATCTAAGTTGTTGTTTTGAGCTTCGGGGCCAACTAGTAGCGGAGGGAGCCTTTGAGGAGAGGGGTCCTAGGACCCCACTTAGTAAAAATTTGGGTACCAAAACTTTTTAAATATCTGCGCTTTAGCATGATTCTTGAAAGATAGGACTCATATTTCACCGATATTACCTCACGTAAAAGCCCCAATCAACTCAAAAAATTTAAGGACCCAGTCCATTCAAAGTCTGATTACGCCACTATGCCCAACATTCTAAAAAAAAATTGTGATGGAGTATTTTCAATAAATTGTCATGTCTGCTCAATCTTGTAACATATCTCCTCCCTTAAATGAAACATTAATTAAATACTTAAAAATATTTAATATAAATCATATCTCGAATGTTCGCGGGATGATCACACTTGTGTCAACATGGATTTTTTTATGTAGAAGAACTAGCTCAATCTGTTATCGACGCCAACAAAGATAGTGGGTGCATGACGATGTTGCTCACACTTACGAAACTTCATATTGTTCCTTAGTGTATCATTTGACCGCACATACAATCACTTCCATTTGATTGTCATGTTTGAGGGTGATGTGCATAGGAGCCAAATCGATTGGAGGTCGATAATCCCCCTATTTAGTGTCCCCTCCACACAAAATATAGTATAGTCAAGGAAAGTGCTGAGATACTCAGCCCATATATAGTAAGGCCCAACGTCAAAAGCCCAAGCAAGTTTGAAGATTAGCTCAATCAACTAGAAGGGAAGCGTTAGTATACAGGGGATCGTGTAGCCCCCTCGTATGAATCCAAGTAGCAACAAGACGTCCTCGTTAGTGCGTGGGAGAGGTGGCATATGTCTCTAAATAGCCAGACTCGAGCACGCCCTTGTATGATAAAGAATGTTGCTGACATGCTGGCACAGGTGATCATTGAACCATTTTTCTCTTGACAGAGGTATAACTACCGATCATTTGTCTCATTTATAGTAACTCTCAACTACCCATTATTTTCTCTCTCTCTCTTATCTCTCTCTACTTCGTTCATTTTTTTACTTTGGCATCAGAGGGCGTCCCAGGTCTTTCCTAGGTACCTTTTTGCAGGACTTTAAAGGACATCCGCCAGTCAAGAAGAGTGAAGCCACGCGAAGTAGCCCAAATATCCGCCCCGTACTTTTTGGGATTAAACAGGAAGGGAAACCAGTATATCGAAACCTATATTTGCTTAGTAAAGAATGCAACAACCCCCTAAATTAAAAACAAAAAATAAGGTTGTTGTGAAAGAGAAAAGAGAATCGTGTAAGCATACCTTTCCTCACTTGAATGCATTGCCTTTCTGAATTTTTGGTGAAATTAATAATGCCAAATGGAAAATTGTCGCATCTTAATTTGCTAGTAAATTGACACAACTCACTTCTAACATTTCACTTTGCATACGAATGATTGGGAGGGTTTGAGTTGCACTATCAAAGTATATCTTTGCTTGAGAACAAACAAATAATTAAGTGTGAGGGAATTTGATGACACACAATTTCTGCTTATTGTAGAACCCACTTCTTAAGTGTTTGAGTGTCATAATCATCATACTTTGGTCATTTGTAGCTAATTGATAATGTTCTAGGTTTAGTATGATTTCTACCTGTTCTTGGCCCCTTGGCTTGTAACTTACTCATTCTTACATATTGTATGCTATGTTGTGTTTTCTCACATAATTTTAAGTCCTAACATATCGATGAAGGTTTGTAGCAAGTTTTGAGATATTTGGAGTTCTATTGAAGGGTGAAAAAAGACAAACATGAACAAGATCACAACTACTTCACCTACACGACATTTAGGTGAGATCCTTGAGATTATGACCAGAAGGGTCAAGATCACAGTTGTCTCATCCATTCCACCCATGATCACTTCCTTCCCAAGTTCATGGCCAATTGCTCAAAGACATGAGTATGATCTTCTGGCTGTGATCTTTGGCCTGTCCATGCATGTATGAATACTTGGGGACTTTAGTTCACAAGGGCAATATCCTAGAGGGATAAAACATAACATAGTGAAGATATAAAGAGAGATACGAGTTTGGAGGGTTTTGGGAGTTGTTTCATCAAACCAACCCCAAAGACTTCCAAGATTCAAACAGGTGGACTAATAAGGTGGATCTACATAAAGATTGATGTTCTTCTTTCTCTGTGTACACTCTTTCTCTCTATGTCCACTCTTTTTCTCTAGGCCCAAACTTTTCTAGTTGCTTAGAGATGAGCTCTAGTTTGTATATTTAAATATGAGTTTGTATGTAAACCTTGATTGTGGACCTATTCTATAAATCTATGACAAAATGTATTTTCATAGCCATAACTTTCGTATTTGTGACAATAATAGTCACTTTTGGAAAATAACAGAAATAGCCACATTTTAAAAACTTTTTTGACTATTTTAGCCATTTCGTCCAATATTATAACACCGTCAACGATTCTGTCAACTAAATGGATGTTATGCTGATTTGGATGCCACTAGGACGTGAGCGGATCAGGTCAGTAACTCTATGGTAAGTAACCATGAGTACATCTGTCCACATCAGCATGACATCAGTAGCCTCTCTCTCCTGGAAAGTCTTTTATCTTTTCCCCTTTAATCTTTAACGAACGATTTCTCTCTCGTTTTAAGTTGAAATTTAATTTTTTTTGCACAGATAAATCAGATTAAATATGCTCTTCAAAATGATATTCACTTTGATATATTTTTAGTACAAAAAATTAAATAATTTTTTACCAGTCATTACCATATGATATGCTCCAATTTAATACCATATGGTAAGAAAGCGTACCATGATGATATGAACATACCAATATGGTAAGAAGGTTGAATACATGATAGTAGGAGTATATTAACTGTCATTTACGACTTTCATCATTGTTTACTACAAGTTACCAATCACATACCATAGTGGTAAAGTATGGTAATTTTTGATCCAGTATTTTTTTCACCTAGAAATTTATAGATCCAATAGATCATGATGAACTCGTTCCTTCTGAGCAAACGTTTTCAAAAACGACTTAAAAACGAAGAAGTTACCATATGGTATGTAGTTGGTAAAAAAAAAAGTTTCTCGAAATATATTAAAAATTGATCTCATTTTGTAGAGCACAACGAACTTGTTCCATCTGTGCAAAAAAATTGAAATCCGAGTTAGAACAAAGAAGATAAGAGCCAATTAAGAAAACTAGGGAAAATAAAATACTTTTAATTGACAACCCTTAGATCTGAATTTTCTGGACCTACTTAAATCTAAAGGTCCATATTTAATTACTCATAAGTTAGTAAACATTAGTTACTGACCCTATCCTAAGCCCACTAGGGACCAGATCAAATCAGTATCCTTCCTATCAGTAACTGTCAGTAACCCAATCTCTGTCCCCACATGTTAGCTTTTTCCTTTTATTTAAATTAAACACGGAGGGGCACTAAGGTAAATTGCACCCCCTATTTAATGCTGACGCTAACGCTCTAACACTGACTTTTTGACCAGACGCCTATCACACTCCCCCCGCTGGTTCCCCTCTCTCACTCTTTGTTTTATTTTATTATTAAAAAAAAAATACATTATTTCTTCTCTCTCCCATTTACAACAAAAATGAATCTAACCATCCTAGCAATCTCTATTCTAATTCCAACTCAAATTGAATGATGATTTTTTCGTTAAATAATTCAGTGCTAAAGACACTAATTACAAGTATAAATATTATTATCACTTTCTACTATCATGGTAAAACATGGTAAAATATGTTGAAGAAAATTATAAATCTAACTACCATACAATACCACATGGTAAAACATGGTAAATATGTTGAAGAAAATTACAAATCTAACTACCATACAATACCACATGGTATAACGTGGTAAAACATGCTACAGAAATTTACAAATCTAATTACCATACCATACCATATGGTATAACATGCTAAAATAAAATTACAAATCAAACTACCAACACATGGTATAACTTGGTAAACCACGCTACAGAAAATTATAAATCTAACTAGCATACAATACCACCATAGTAGAACATGGTAAATCGAAGGACCACAAATTAATTATGATTACCATATAATACCACATGGTATGAGAAGGTAAAACCATATAAATCTAATTACAACCCTCTACGACCATAGTAAAAACATTATATTCATAAAAATACATTTCGTTACCACACATTACCATATGGTATAGACACATTACCATATGGTATAGTATGGTAATCTCAATATATATATATATATATACAATTACGACTTTTTCACTTTCTTCTCTCCCTTCATTGTCTTCTAATTCTTCTTTCTCAAAACTGGTGTCGATTACCACCCACTACCACCATGATAAAACTCGTGACTATAAAAATACATTTAGTTAGCACACATTATCATATGGTATAGTGTGTTAATATCAATATATATTCTCAAACAAGGGGAAAACAGAAGGAGGAAGAGAAAAAAAATACTTGTTTTCTGTCTCCTCTCATTTACTCCTCCACAATCAAGAACACCAAATGCAAAGAGAAGAAAAAAGAGGAGGAAGATCGGAATTGAAAATTCACAAACAAATACTAAAACACAAAAGATGCAAACTCGACTCACCTAGATCTGTCCCCTCTTTGACAAAATGGAGCGTCATCGATTTTGAGGCCGAGAAAAGAAAAAACAGAAGGAAGGATCAGCTTGAGAGAATAAGGATTTGGAGCGTCACCGGATTTGAGGTGGGAGGCTGCAATTTCTTTGTCGATTATTGGAGAAAAAAAATGAAGAACAAGAGAAGAAAGGATATTTAGATTTGGAAAAAAGAGAGAATGAAGAGAGAAGGAAGAGAGAAGTTTGTTTTTCTCCTCCATTAAAAGACAACATATAAATGCTGGAAAAAATAAAAAAAGGAAAGAAAGAAAATTTTAAAAATTTGACAAAAATGCCCCTCTTCGCTCCGTGTGCAACCTAGCTGTACGATTATTTCGCCCCTAGATCTACAGTCCCGGTTTAATTACTGACGATACTGACTCTATCCTAGGCCGGTAGTTGGCGCCGGTTCCAGAGATTTCACGCTTGAGTTGCTGTTTTCCCAACCAAGCGTTACTGCATCCTCATATTAATCACTCCAGAGACAAAATGTAGTCGCCTCACAGTTTCATCCCGACCACCGTCGCTGTTCCGATTCCCCGGAGAAAAAAGGCAGACCTTTTTATCTCCTAATTGGCTTCCTGGCTTCCGAGACAACCCAGTACGATCTGATCTGTAACGGTCATATCCAACTTGAGCTTCCCTCTAATTTCTCCCCAAGACAAATGGGGCATCTGGACCACCCTCTTCGCCACAGTACAAATCGCCGCCAAGGAGAAGTGGATTCTGAGATTGGGGATTTGGCAAAGGGGCTCGACTTTGGGATTGGGAATCGTAGGAGCTTCTCTCGCCGTCAAAGCATCATTGCCTATGGGTGCTCTATCGTAGGTGGCGAGGCTAGTGGCTCGCCATCACCACCATGGTCGTCATCTCCGTCGTGAGGAGGCAGATCGAGGGATATCGAGAATGGGGGAGGGATTTCATTCGGATCTGAGCGTTTTTGAAGAGAGAAAGAAGACGATAGAGAGGAGAGGAGCAAGATTTTTGTTTGTCCTTTAGGGTTATTATCGTTCTGGGAAGAAAAAAGGATTAGTATTTTGTTGTTCGTTGATGGAGAAGAGAAAAGCAGAGAGAACGACGACGATTTCGAAGATAGGAAGGGAAGGTGAACAGGCGATGGTGAGGCTGATATTATTGTTTTTACTTTTTATAATTTTTTATTTAATTTAATTAAAATAAAAGAATAAAACTTTTGATTTTTCACTTGGCATTATTTTCGAATAAAAAATGCCACGTCAACCGTTACTGTTAGTCAAATCTGCTTGTTAGAATAAACCGTTAAAGAATTGGATGGAAATGACTATTTCCGGTATTTCTTCAAAAGTGATTATTATTGAAAAAAAACACAAAATTTATGAATATACAAGTGTATTTTGCCTAAATCTATCGATGTTTTACCATGTTTTCCTTGTCTTTTGGCTAAGTATTTGGATTTTGTGATCCTTGACCATATGATCATCTAATTAGATCAAGATTAAAATACCAATCAATATGTGAGGTTATAATTGCATGACAATTGAGATGTAGCCTCATTTGCACAGGGGCACCCATTACAAGAGATTAGACCTAATTCTCTAGATATCTAACTGCCATGAGGCATGACCCATTCAGGAAATTTAGCTATGTAAAAGAGTGATTAAGTACACCTAATGCTCTATATATCTAATTGGCATGACCCATTCAGGAAATTTAGCTATGTACAAGAGTGATTAAGTACATAATTATTGACTTTATTGCTAGTTTAAATGATTACTTGCAATATAGAAGATAGGGAAAAGGGTTAATTGCATGGTTGGTCACTGAGATTACGAAAAATGTTCAAGTTTGGTTACTCGAAATATTTAAATCCATTGGTGGTACTTCAGTTTACTGAAATCGTTCACGTTTGGTCACTCTTAGTCCAACTCCGTTAACTTTTGTTTACGTAGCAGTCAACGCTATAAGTTGATCGTTAAATGTGTGATGTGACAATTAAAAAATTATATTTGATTTTTTAAAATTTCCACCTCATTTCTAACTATTAAAAGGATTATTTTTTTTTTATAAATTATTAAAATTAAGAACCAACGGGGAATCCTCTCTCCTGTTCTCCATTGCCGCATTCTTGGCCACAAACGGTGGTGGTTGCTGCCGTTTCCGCTTAGATAAACCCTCTGAAGCCGAGGCCAATGCCGCAAAACCAGAAATCTACCAATTCGTCTCCTATCAATTTAACCTTCCTGCCAAAGGTAACATAGCCTAGTGGTGAAACCACTGGACCAATTGAGCTCTGGATGTGAGAGGTCCTGAGTTCGATTCCCAGTGGCGCCACTTGAGCGTTCCCGGCGGCACCCTTAGTATCGGAGGCGAAGCCTCCCCGATGTTGGTAGCAGAAAGCCACGGTTAGTATCCAGGTACCCCAGTGGTTTAGTAGGCCCCGCTATCGCTCAAGCGACACGTGGGGCTGAGGTTCCCTGGATTATCAAATAAAATAAAAAATTTAACCTTCTTCTGTTTTTCCTAATTTGCAATCAATTGAAAATTTCCCCCATTTCGCAGCTGGGCCAGAAATGCCGAGACGAATGAAGCGGTGGCGATTAAGAAGATTGGAAATGCTTTCGACAATAGTGTTGACGCCAAGAGAACCCTCCGCGAGATCAAGCTTCTCCGCCATGTGGATCACGAAAATGTAATCTGATCAATTAACCTCCAAATCAATACCGATTTCCCTCATGGGTTGATCAAAAGTAACTAATCTGGCTGTTGCTCTGTTTTAATCGTGTGTGCAGATTATCAAAATTAAGGACATAATCCCACCGCCGGAGAAGGACAAGTGCGACGGCGTTTACATCGTCTACAAGCTCATGGATACCGACCTCCACCACATCATCCGCTCCTCCCAGCTTCTCACTGACGATCACGCCCAGGTTTCTGATTATACAATTTTATGTCTCTATATTTGAGTGGGATTAAGGTGAAAATTATGTTGGAGCTGATGGTATCAATGTCGGGCAGTACTTTTTGTACCAATTGCTTAGGGGTTTGAAGTACATCCACTCGACAAACGTGCTCCACCGTGACCTGAAGCCAGGGAACCTGTTGCTGAATGCAAATTGTGATCTGAATCTTGGTTTTGGTCGACCGAGTTGTTGCCTGCTGCACATTTTTCCGTGAATCCCGTCCCTGGAGATCGATTTGGTAGATTTCTCAATCTGGGTTTTGGTCGACAAAGCTGCTGCCCAGTTCCATTCCAATTCCTCGTCAGACTCTGTTGGCAGCGGAGGCGGCCTGGTAGGGTTCTAGTTTTGCGGCGTTGGCCTCGGCTCCGGAGGGTTTATCTGAGTAGAAATGGCAGCAACCACTGCCGTTTGTGGCCAAGAATGCGGCACGGAGAACGGGAGAGAGGATTTCCCGTTTGTTCTTAATTTTAATACTTTATAATTTTATTATTATATTTTTAACTGCTAGAAATGTGCTGGAATTTTTAAAAATTAAATTTTATTTTTAATTATTTTTTTAATTGCCACATCACACATTTAACGGTCAAGTTTTAGAGTTTGACTGTCACATGAGCAAAAGTTAACGGAGTTGGACGGAGAGTGACCAAACGTGAACGGTTTCAGTAAACTGAAGTAACACCAATGGATTTGAATATATGTCGAGTGATCAAATTTGAACGTTTTTTTGTAATATAAATAACCAACCATGCAATTAACCCATAGGGAAAACATTCTTTTATTTGTATCAACCCATTTTATAGAGATTCAACCTTAATGAAAACATCACATCTAGTGATCCTCCTAGTTAATTTCAAACATTTTCACTTTCAAAGTAGTTTAAGGTCAAAAGTAGTAGTAGAGCTTGTTAGAGAGTGCTATAAGATCCAGCATAACCTTCTCCCAACAACTCGAGTTATTGGGAACAACTGGTTCTTAACATGGTGTCAGAGCTAGTTTGGAGTGGACGTGCATTCGAATCTCCACGACCTCCAATATAACACTTACTTAAAGCACAAAGTATGGTGGGCATGTGCAAACTTCAATCCCATGGGTTGACTTTCGTTTGAGGGGGCGTGTTAGAGAGTGCTATAAGATCCAACATAACCTTCTCCCAACAACTCGAGTTATTGGAAACAACTGGTTCTTGACAGAGCTAAAGGCCAAGGCCTGATAAAGTAGACTCGAGTAACTTGAGCACACATCCACGACGTTCTTACAAACTCCATCTCTTGCACCAACTCCTTTTGCCTTGTTTGCTCATCTCCTCTGTAATTATCTGCTACTCCTTATGCATCTTCTCCTACATGTAACTTCTGCACATACGCAAGAGAGATGGCGCCATAAAATATAAATAAGCAGGCATGCAAGATCGAAAAAACAGCTGGTAACTACTTTTATTAGTGTCTTCTGCAAATTACTTAAAACGGTATATGGATTTTAGAAACTACTACACATTACAACATTATGGTTACAAGACAACACCCGCACCCATTTACAAATCTATATTCTAGGATCTAGATTTGTCTACAATCTACTAAACATACTCCACAACTCTCAGCTGCTGCATAACGAAGAACACCTCTTCATCCCAAATTAGTTGGATTCTACAGAACCGTAACTCTACCCTTGGAGATGGGAGACCCCTGGAAAAGCTTGGTAAAGATCGAGTCTTTCAGTTTCTCAAGCTCAGAAGAAACCCTATGGTGGCTCCTTTTCTCCGAGGAACGCTCTTCTGCCATGTCGTTCTGCTGCTTCTTCTTTTTCTTCTTCAGCTTCCTGGCTTCTGCATTCTCAAGCCTCAGTATCTCCATGGCTGAACTCAGCTGCCTGATCACCTCCCTTTTCTCCTCGTCTTTCTGCGACAGCTGCTCCTTCTGTAACCTGTTCTCCTCCTTCAGCTCTTCAACTTCTGCCTTCAAGTTCAACTTCTTCTCCACTTCATCATATTCCCTCTCCACGTTGGCTGAACTCAGCTGTCTGATCACCTCTCTTTTCTCCTCATCTTTCTGCCACAGCTGTTCCTTCAGTAACCTGTTCTCCTCCTTCACCTGTTCAACCTCTTCCTTCAACTTCTTCACCACTTCATCATATTCCTTCTCCACATTTTCTACCTGGGCTGCGAATCCAGTGTTTGCAGAAATAGCTTCGTCCTCAACAACAGGATCGTCGACTTCAGATTCAGCACCGGAGTCGGAGTCCTCCACAACAACGCCGTCGTGGAATAACTCGGAGTGGCTGCTAGATGTAGATTGTCTGCAGCGGTCGTAGGTTTGAATTTGATCTTGATCACCATCGCCCATCCCACTACTGATAGTTGATTTGCAGTCGAAAGGCTCATGATGATCATCATCCGAGCTCAAACTCATGGTTGTCGACCTTTTCCCACCACGGTCGTAATAGTGGTCTGAAACTGAAGATGATGTTGGAGACAACGATAGGCGGGGAAGTCGAGTTCTGTTCTCGGATTGAAGTTGATCGAATTGCTCCAGTAAGGAACGTTGTGCCTTGTAAGAGTCCTGGACCATGTTGATGAGCTCCGGCCTCTTCTTATAGTACATCTCGGCTCGCTGAGCGAATGAATCTGCTTCTGTCTCGATCAATTTCATCATTGCCTTTGTTTTCCTGTTGAGTTCTGCATATACATCATACCACAAATGATGATGATGATTTCGCACCATAGAAAAAGATTGGGCTACTATTTCACATCATAGGTTATACTTTAAAATAACCCAATAATGTCAAATAGTCATTAAGATTCGGTAACGACACTTTTTGACCATAGACAGAGACAGAGAGACGGTCCAGCTCAAATTTCATATCATTCCATTGCACTGGTTTGTTGATTATGAAATTGATCGTTGTTAAGTCTCTAGATATAGTTACCTACAATTCTTTCTTCCTCATCGGTGAGTTCCAACCCAATATGGGTTTAGCCTCAAAATTCACATATGGGCAAACGCGAAGCAAAGATTTTGCAGAAAAATGTGAGGGAGGGTAAGAGTAAAGAACATCCTTTTTCGCTAAACTGAGGTCTGAGAGAGAGAGAGGGGAGATTACCAGAAAGAGTAGAGTGTAGCCATGGAGATCGAGGGGAGGCAGAATGACTACTGTCAATCCACCACCACTTGTGCGACGAGTCCTTCCTCATCATATCTTCATCATCATCCACAATCGCCATTCCTTTCTTTTAAGTCCCCTTCTTCAAGTACTTGTCTAAAATCTGGGGATCCATCAAAGCACCAGTTTATCGTTAGTACTTAGTCGTTACCACAGCTTCAAGAACATATCCCTCCTTGGTAGGTTTCGAAGAAAAAATTGCCAAAATAGAGAAAAAGAAAACAGAAAGATTCAAGAACCTAAAACCCTCTGATTTGTCCTTCCCAATCATTAGACCCAAAACCCAATCTCCATGAACGTGATTCAGAAAGGACCCAAAACTCAGAATCGCGAAAAACAGAGTAGCGAGAAGCAGAGGGAAGTTACCTGCAGAGAGAGAACTGTCTCGGCTTCTGTCGCTTCTTTCCTTCACTGGTGATCAGAACCAAGTAAGTGTCTTTACGTGTGCACTTGAGTCCAATTTCACGGACTTGCGAAGAGAGATAGAGAAGCGGTAGACTCTGTCGTATCTCGTCTTCCTTCCTTTCCTTTCCTTCTCCGGCCTTGGGTTTCTCAGTCGGTGCTTTTTGTCCTTCTTGCCCGCGAGAGCGGCTGCCACGTCTAAGCGAGCAGAATTCGAGGCGAGGGAAACGGTGGAGGATGAGATGAGAAAGAGGGGGAATTTGAATTTTACTGGTAATTTGTCAGGGACCGGGATTGAGTCACAGCCGGCGCCGATGGATCTGATTGCTAAGAGGCTTAATCCGACGACTGAGGGGTTTTCTCCTTTTTATTTAAGAAACAGGTGTTTGAATTTGGGTTGGAGTCGGGGAGCGTACCCAGTTGCGTAAAAGAGACTCCAATATTTCGTAACGGTCGAGAAATTAGTACATACGACAAAAAGAAGGATTCCCAAATTTTTTGTTTTGTGTAAAAACAAAATAATATTCTTTCTTTCCTAGACGGTACGGGATGTGGAACAATTCATCAAAAATTGTACACGACTTGCATGATTTTTGCCATAACACGACTGGCATGATTGCGGGTTAATTCTTTAAATATTGCTTTTTAAAAAAAAAATTATCACACATATTGTGGTTTAAAAATTATTGACACAAATATTGTATTTTGGAGAGTGTAAATAGCGGGCCGCCCCAAACTCAGGCAGACATGCTTTTTGATTTTTTTTTCAACCAACTTGAGCGCTGGCGCTTTAGGCTGGGGAGCCCGAGACAGAGGCGATTTCAGTGGTCAGCGGGAGCGCCTAAGACTGGGGCGGATTCGCTGCTTTACCCATCCACTCCAACCCTATAAAACCTAACGATTCCTTTCAGCAGCTCACACAAAAAAAAAATCGATCTTCTGTTAAACGAGAGAAGCTCTGGTTGCTGCAAAGATGGCTAATAGGTAAGAGACACATTTATTTTTTAATTATATTCTTCAAATGTTGTTATGATCTTGTTTAGTAATTAGTGAGTTTGTTTTTTTATGTAGTGATTTTAGAAGATTTAAATTAGTAGTTCGATGGAAATCGAAGAAACTAGAGGATAATTTGGGCCTCCATTTCGTTGGTGGTGGAAGTTTTCAGATGACGGTGCCATCCAGGGTGACATATCACAAACTTTGTGAGAATCTAATTCAGAGAATACGACGTAGAGACGAAGCAGTTCAAGATAGTGATATGATCACAGGTTTCACTTATTATCTTCCAGAATGGATGAATGATGTTTTATTTCATTATGCGATGCCTATTAATATTATGGATGATGATAGTTTGAATGCGCTTTGGAATTTTATGGCACAAAACCTTTATTGTTTGGGTGCTGAGATACATGCTGAGCTTAGTGAGCATCAAGGTGAAGAGGAAGAAGATGAGACATGGAGCGTGCCATCCGATCATGATGATGATGACGGAGACGGAGAGGAGGAGGAGGAGGAGGAGGATGAAGATGAAGATGGGGAAGGAGAGCAGCCTAATTATCCTCCATATTTTTACTTGCAGGGTGTTGATGTGACTTGAATCGGACTATCAACCGCTACGACTGGTAATCGGGGGTCTCGCTGCCCGGTCAGCGAGTGGGGTCCAGGGGCAACGCCCCAGTGGGGGTGCGGGGCCAACGCCCCCGGCCCACGGTGTATGGGCTCAATGTTATTTGGGTTCGGGTTCTGGGCCTGGTCTGTAACCGTTTCCTTTACCAGATTGGATTAGGTTTAGACCCACATGGAGAAGTACTATAAATACTTCTCATACTCCTCTGTAATCTGTAATCTCCTCGATATAGTGAAACTGACTCTCTCTCGCCCGTGGACGTAGCTAACACACATCGTGTTAGTGAACCACGTAAATCGTGTGTATGTGTTATTTTTTTTTATTCTCGCTTTCGTATTCTTGCTTTATCGATTCCGGCGATTTCCCGATCCGTAGCAGCGCCTTTATAACAAGTGGTATCAGAGCCTGGTTGAAAATCAGGCTAGGATTTTCGATTCAGAAGAATGACGTCGGTGAACATGAAGATCGAAAAGTTCACGGGGAAGAACAGCTTCGCTATATGGCAGATCAAGATGCAGGCTTTATTAAAACAGCAAGGGCTGTGGGGGCCGCTGTCTGCAAAACAAAAGAAGGCAGCGGTCGATGACGATGAGTGGAATACCCTGGAGGAGAAGGCCCACTCAACCATCATGCTATCGTTGTCTGATGACATCATCATTGAAGTCGCTGCTGAGAAGACTGCCGCGGGCTTGTGGTTAAAGTTGGAGAGTCTGTATATGACGAAGTCTCTAACCAACAAGCTGCATCTCAAGCAACGGTTGTTCAGCTTGAGGATGCAAGAAGGTACGCCTTTGAGGGAACATCTCGAATAGCTTAACTCTATTTTGCTGGATCTGCGTAATATAGATGTTCAAGTTGATGACGAGGATGCTGCCCTAATCCTACTAGTTTCTTTGCCGAGTTCATATGAGAATTTAGCTGATTCTTTTATTGCTGGTAAAGAAAGCGTGTCGTTGGAGGATGTCAGGTCTGCTCTTCATACGAGAGAGATCAGACATAAGGCGTCTGGATCTGGTACAGGTGGTGAGGCATCGGGTTTGGCTGTTACAGGTGGAAAGGGAAAGAAGAAATCTGGTAAAGGGAATTCGAACAAGAATTCCAAGGGTCCCGGTCCACAGCCAGGTGATGCTTGTCACAACTGTAAGGAAGTGGGGCATTGGAAGTACAACTGTCCCAAGAGAAGAGGGCAACAGAAGAAACAAGGTTCAGTTGCCGTGGCAGAAGTGGACAACAGTTCTGAAGACGATCTCGCCTTGGCTGTAGATGAGAAGGCACATCGTGGGGATGTGTGATTTCTGGATACTGCAGCCTCATACCATATGTCTCCGAATAGGGATTGCTTCACAACCTATGAGCAGATAGATGGTGGTAACGTGGTCATGGCTAATGGAGCTGTCTGCAAGGTTGTTGGAATCGGGTCCATAAAGGTTCGAACACATGATGGTTTGTTTTGTACCGTGAATGATGTCAGGCATGTTCCACGAATGACAAAGAACCTGATCTCCTTGAGTCCACTCGACAGCAAGGGTTTCAGTTTCAAAGGAAAAGGTGGAGTTGTGTATGTCTGCAAAGGTTCAAGGAAGGTGATGAAGGGCATGAAGCGTGGGACCTTGTATGCATTACAATGGTCTGTGTTGTCTGGGTCTGCTGCAGTTGCATCATCTCAGGTTCATCAGGAAGATATGACCACTCTCTGGCACATGAGACTGGGGCATATGAGTGAACGGGGGATGCAAGTTCTGTCGAAGAGGGATCTTCTTTGCGGGCACAAGATGCAGAATTTGGAATTCTGCAAGCATTGTGTGTTTGGGAAGCTACATCGCAGCAAGTTTCCCAAGAAGGGTATTGATAACGATGTAAATGCACATGTTTGCGCCCCTAGTTCTTATCCGTTTGAGGAGTATAGTCGTGTGTTTTGGCCTATTTTACGCCGGGTTGTGCTATTTTGTCATGTTTCAGGTCCCAGGCGTTAAAGGGAAGGCTAACCGCGAGTTTCGGGGGCATTCGGAAGTCATTTCGGTGAGATGGAGCCAAAACACGGGCAGACCCAAGGCATTACACGGCCGTGTACTGCTGGCCGTGCTTTTTATGCCGAGAGCAAATTCAGTTTGGCCAATTCAGCTGCAAACACGGGCACCGAAGCACGGCCGTGTTCGACCAAAGCACGACCGTGTCCAACGCGAAGCACGGCCGTGTTTAACCCACTTGCTGGCCGTGTAATTAAGCCCTGGCCGAGACACGGGCGGAGTCAGGCAAAGCACGGCCGTGCCCTCGACCGTGCTTTGGCCACTGATGCTTTTAAGCAGATTTTCAGCCACAATTCAAGGGGATTCGAGTTTTTGAGAGAGAGATCAGTTCCTAGAGAGAGAAAGTGACGAGCAAGAGTTCCCAAGTGCCCTAGATTGATCTTCAACACCATTGGAGGCCAGCTTGAGCTTGGAGAAGTGCCAATCAACGTCCAGAAGCAGGAATCCATCCTTCGCAGTATGAATTCCGTGTCTGATTCTGCTTTTGCTTTCTCCTCTATGGAGTAGTTCTCCCATTCATCTGGGTATGGAGAACCCTAGATTTGTATGTTAGGCTTTGATTGTATGAACCGAAGTACTGATTCTATGATTTGATTATATTCGATTGAGGTTTGAATGATTGAATGACTTGAATCCTGATCAAATTCCTGTTGTTTCTGCTTTGACCTAGAATGAGAATATCTGCCTAGGTTGATAGAGCACCCTTGATTGAAGGTAGGGAGTTGGTGACTTTAGTCGAGGAGCCAACTCACTATTCTGTACCGAATTTACTCCGGTAGTGGGGGTTTTGTTCTTAGGGCCTCAATCTGTCGACTCCGGTGGAGGTTAGTCGCCCGCTAGAGAGTCAGATTGAGAGGGTCTGAAGACCTTTCGTCGAGACTTCAGGCTGTTTAAGAACCTTCCGCAGTATAACTGTCATAGAAACTGAACTTGGTAATTACAATCCGGCTTAACTGCAGTCTAGGGGGAACCATATCCGGGTGACCTCTTTAACCTGAATACAACCAGTTTACTTGCTTTGTTTGTTTGGTAGTTTAGACTTGCACTCCAGTTTTATTGCTAGATAACAAGAACTCACTGAGTAGTCAGCAAATCTAGGACCCGGGTTGATAATTAAACCTAAACCCGCTATACTACGCTTTAGGAAGTGGTTACACTTGGCCAATTCCTGGAGTGACAGTAGAGTCGAGTCAAGTTTTTGGCGCCGTTGCCGGGGACGGCTAGGTTGTTGAAGAAAAGTGATTTCTGTTAATTTAGCTTTTCTTTTTGCTTTGTTTGCTTTGTCCCACTTGTGCCTTCACGGGTGTGCTTGCTTGAGTGTGTGCAGGTAGTGCATGACCCGTAGCCAGTCGGGAGGTTTACTGCCGTTGAATCCAGAGATTGACCGCACCTGTCGCCAGCTCAGGAGACAACAACGAGCTAGACTGGCTACGGAAGAGCGCATAGACGGCCACCTGAGCAGCGATTCTGAAGAAGAGCACGGGATGGACGGAGACTACAACCAATACCAGGGGAATCCACAGCAGGTTCCCCCGGTGAATCAGGTCCTGGGGAACAACCCCATACCCCAGGATCATGGAGTTCATCATCCACCACAGACGGGTCCCACCTTGGAGTACTACTACACTCCGCGGATTGCTGACATCCGCTCGGTCATCCTCTACCCGCCTATCCCAGCAAACAATTTCGAGATCAAGCCATGCTGGATTCAGCTCATCACATCCTCTATCCAGTTCCATGGCTTGAAGGATGAGGAGGCCAGGGTACATCTGTCCCGTTTTCTGCAGCTGACAAACGGGTTCAAGCTGAATGGTGTCCCGGATGATGCGATCCGCCTTCATCTCTTCCCTCATTCTCTGGCGGGGAATGCTAAGAGGTGGTTGGAGACCCAGCCCCCATTGTCCATCACCTCTTGGGACGATCTGGCGGACAAGTTCGTGCACAGGTATTATCCGGCATCGAAGACTACAGAGATTTAGCGGGAGATCACTCACTTCCGCCAGGAGCCAGATGAGTCACTTCGTGATGCATGGGAGCGGTACATGGGATATTTCTGGCAGTGTCCCCACCATGGCTTCAGTGATGCATTCACAGTGGGGAACTTCTACAGCGCTCTCTCCCCAGATAGCCAGAGGGTGATTGAGTCTTTATGCCCAGGAGGGGATGTTCTCACCAAGACTCCACCCGAGCTGAACCAGATGATTAATACATTGGCTGCCAGAGATCATTCTTGGGGGCAGAGCAGCAGAGGCAGACATTCCAGGGATCGTGGTGTGCACGCAATGGAGTCCAGATCCGGGCTCGAGCAGCAGGTAGCTGAGCTAGTGCAGACATTGAAGCAGCCCAACAGTCTTATTCCGGGCAGAGGCATGGCTACACCTCCAGTTGCTCAGTGTCAGTGGTGTGAGAGCTCGAGCCACTTAGTAGAAGACTGCCAGGCTATGAGGGAGTCTACTACTCCCCAGGAGCAGTTGGACTTCATCGCCAATGCTCGGCGCCTCGACCTGTACAGCAACACCTATAATGAGGGGTGGCGCCAGCATCCCAACTTCTCTTGGGGCAGCAACACCACTAAGCCACCTGGTTTCCCAGCACCAGCAGGTGGTTTTCAGCAGAGGCAGCCCTACCAGGCTCGACAGGGGCAGTTCCACAGCAGCAGCCCTACCAGCCTCGACAAGGGCCAGTTCCACAGCAGCATCCCTACCAGCCTAGGCAAGGGCAACCCTTCCAGCAGCCCCAGCGCCAGTTTGCCGAGCCAGCAGCAGCTCCAGCTCCAGATACTCAGATGACGAAGCTGGAAAATATTCTGGCTTCATTCATGACGAGCACTCAGGCGACTATCACGAGGTTGGACCAGAGTGTAGCCTCACTGGAGGCAGGTCAGAGGAACCAGGGTGCCATTTTGCAGGATCTGCAGACCCAGGTGGGCATCTTGGCCCGCCAGAACACCACCAGGGCACCGGGGACTTTGCCTGCCACCACTGTCCCGAATCCTCGGGATCCTCACCAGCTCCAGCAGCTTGATGCCATCACTACCAGGAGTGGCAAGACCACATCAGCTGCTCCTGCCCAGCCCAGTCGAGATGATCCACTACCTGTTTCAACACTTCCAGCTGATACTGCAGACGTGGGGGAAGGCAC